AAAACTCAGGCTAACTTGAGCTCCCATTGAGGTTTGACCAGTGATTAGCCAGGTGGCGCTGTACCTACCTGAGCCTCACTTTACTATCTGAAGAATGGGGGTGATCCTCACCCCTTGCATGCCTTCCCAGCTCCCACTTTCCCTGTGGCTCGAGGCCCCCTACAAATAAAATCACTGAATTCCAGCTCCCATTCCCATTTGTTCAGGAAACCCTCCCTGCCACGCCTCCTCCCTCCGTTCTCACCTGGGAGGCATCTGCGTCCAGCTCTGTCTTACCCAGACTGGGGAGTCCTACAAGGTCAGTCCTTGGGCATCACACCACTGTCCAGCTCCAAGCAGATGGAGACATGGCTTACAACTAATCTCATTCCCCAAATCAGACTCCACTCAATGCCTCACCACTCCACATTTTGTTTTGTTTTGTTTGAGACAGAACCTCACTCGGTCACCCAGGCTGGAGTGCAGTGGCTCGGTCTCAGCTCACTGCAACCTCCGCCTCCCAGGTTCAAGCCATTCTGGCGCCTCAGCTTCCCCAGCAGCTGGGATTACAGGTGTGTATCACCATACCTGGCTAATTTTTGTATTTTTAGTAGAGACAGGGTTTCGCCATGTTGGCCAGGCTGGTCTCGAACTCCGATCTACCCACCTCAGCCTCCTCAAGCGCTGGGATTACAGGTGTCAGGCACCACGCCCGGCCACTCACCACTCTCGCATTTTGGTCATTGGGATGTGTGCTCTGTGCCCAAGCACTACCTCATCTCCTGGCCTTTCCTGGTGCTCTTTCCTCTGCCAGGAATGTCTGTGCCAGGAATGTCCTTTCTGAAATTCAACTCCACCTGATAAGCTCCTACTTCCATCGTCATGCCCCACTAGAAAGCTTCCAGATCCCCAGGGACAACCTTCCTCCCTGCTCTGGACTCCCCTAGCCCCTGCTCCCCAATCCCTGACCATGGAGAGCTGGACAGAGCCCTGAGACTTTGTACTCACCCTCATTCGTTGGGGTCCCTGGCAGGTCTGGGGTGGCTGGCTCCTCTCCACTAGCCACCTCCTCCCAGAAGCTCTCTATGCCTGGGCTCCCTGCCAGGACCTCCAGTTCGAAGTCTTCTGTGCCCAGGGTGACAGGCAGCAGGGTGCTGGAGGAGTCCCATGGCACTGTAGGCTCCCCTGAGGAAACTGAGGCAGCCTCACCCACACTGGCTGCAGTCGGTGTCCAAGGAGGCACAGCTGGTTTCCCCAGGGGGCTGCTCT